TACTTACTTACTTACTTACTACTACTACTACTACGTACTACTACTACTACTACGTACGTACGTACGTACTACTACTACTCTCTCTCTCTCTCTCTCTCTCTCTCTCTCTCTCTCTCTCTCTCTCTCTCTCTCTCTCTCTCTGCGTGTCTGTGGGAGAGGAACGAGCAGTATGGCGGTTCCATTTTTTCGCCGCACGGCTACACCAGCCACGCGAGGAGGGTCTTTGTGGGGGACCTCTGCGTGCACGGTCCAACACAGGAGCAGTGTAACATGCTGCTCTCGAGTCTTGGCGAGGATGCCTTGCTCCACCTCGGCGAGGGCACGCTTTCCACGGCATGCGCCAACGATATTGCTCTTGTGGACAGTGCGGTGCTAACGTCTGCGTTGCCAGGCTCGTCCGGGTTTGTCACCATTCGACGCACCTTGGCTGCTGAAGGCAAAGACCCAGCGTCCGGCAGAGGCTCTGGTGTGTGGCCACCCGTGACCCCGCGAGTCAGTGGTCGAGCCCACGGGGACTCGCCGTCGCCTTGCACTGCTTCCGCCTCGACGGGTCTTGCAGCGTCACCGGCGGCCGCCGTCTCTGCCAGCGGCGTGCTCGCCGCCATGACCCCGATCATCACCTGCGGGCTGGGCAGCAAGTGTTGGCCCAGGCTGCTTTCTCACGCCGAGCCCGCCACCGATACGCAGCCCCTTCAGTACTTCAAGGAGGCTGTGGTGGTGCCTGTAACGACGATGCGGCTACTCGGTGTGGAGGAGGGCGCCCTGGTGCAGCTTAACTTTCACAGTGAGGAAAAGGTACTGGAGGCGTCCACAGTGTTGTTTGCCCTCATGTCGGACGGTGTGGGGGAGGAGCTTTCCTTTGACAGCTACATGCGCCACTTTATTGCCCCCTTCTTCATTCAGCGCCGCCGTGCCATCAGCGTTGCGGAGGAGTTTGAAATAAAGAACCACGGCCACGGCCAGCTGCACGTGACGGTGATGGCGATTGACGACGGACTGCTGAAGTCTGGGATTTTGGTAGATGACACGTGCGTTCGTTTGGTTGTTCAGCCCGCGGCTCCGCCACATCTGCAAGGCCAAGAGGGCACTCCCACGTCCAAAAATCCCACGCCGCGGGGGCGTACCCGCTCTGCCTGCAGCGGACGGAGCCCCGTGCGGGAGTCCTCGGAGCCACCGTACACTCAACCTGGTGCGTTGGCAGCGGCGCCCCGTGAAAATTTGCTGCCAGGCGTAGGGTTTTCCCCACCGCCGAGGGATCATCACCCGATACTGGGAAGGCCGCCACGGGTATACGTCCCCTCACCCCGGCTAGCCTCCCGCAGTGCCGAGCCGCACAGTGGTCCCGCCTCATTTCCGACGTATTTGCCTCAGACCATGGAGCTGCGTGAGGTGCAGATTGTGCAGCGGAAACATTTGCCCACGTCATGCACTGCCGTGACGAATGTGAGGGCCGCTGCGGAGTCAGACGCTGGCGCCGACCTCACCCGCAATGCCCATAACACCGGCGCTGCTGCTTGTGCCGATGCTGCTGAGGTTGCGGCCGCCAACGCCGTCGCCGCCACGGTGGAGGAGAGTGGAGGGGTGAGCGTGGTGCAAGTAACAGCATACCAGCGACCTGGCACCTCGCCCACGACGGTGCAGGCTCCTGCTCCAGGTGGCCCGGGCACTTCTGTCAACGTCACCTCAACGGAGGCTCCAGCGTCTCCTTCGAGGCTGCTGCAAGGGAAACGTGAGCTCAGCACACAGCGTGAAACACATGCATTGGGGGGCGAGGAGGCAGCTATCGGCTCAGGTGGAAGCAACACGACGGAGCCAATCCTGCATGATCCCAACACGGCTGCGGGTGTGCCGATGCAAAAAACCGACCCAGAAAACAAACGGCGTTCACCGGATGCTGTTTCCAACGTTATGCCACACCACGATGACTTTGCTGAAGCCACTGAGCTGCGATCTGAGCAGCTGCCCACACTGTCGGAGGATGCTGCATGCAGGGCCCACCGGATTGTGGAAAGCTGGCTGGCGGTGAAGGCACAGTGGCGGGAGCTTTCCATCAGCCATCTGCTGAAGTGTGAGTCGCACGTCGCTATCAAGGTGTTCCAGCATTTCCTTGCGGTATACAAGGAGCTTAAACAAAGACACACGGACTGTCTTGCCTACCTTGACTCTCCGTATGGGCACACTGTGCGAGGGGATTTGGTGCTTCGCGTCTCGCTGCTGGCGGCAGCACGCAGGAAGAAAGAGTGCGGCAGTGCGGTGGAGCCACTGTGGCGACGCGGCGAATTGCACGACGAGGATGAGGCGGCATCCGTCGCAACAGCCAACGATGATGTCAATAGCACCAGCACTGTCGGCGTGAGCAGCGAGTCACAGACAGTTTTCCTGGCGGCGAAGCTTCTGCGATTGAGTTTGCGTGAGTTGAGTGCCGCGTTGGGGCGCGACGTGTTGCACGTTTTCCGTGTGGGGGGCACATGCCCTATGCTGTACTGCACGCTGATGAAGCGCTGCAGCAACGGCCCGCACGAGGTGACGCTCCTGGGTGAGCCGTGCCCTGTAGAGGTGTTGCGGACAACCATCCTGGAGGACATATGCGAGGCACGCGAGGAGAGTCGTCGCGAGTGGGTGAAGCTCTCTACAATGTGGAAGGGCGCCGTGTCGGGCGTGCTTCAGCTCGGCGTCTTTACGAAACACTTGCAGACCGTGCGGCACTTGTTCCTGGAGCTGGCCCGCCTGCTACATTACCCTGACGAGGTGTGGCACAGCGCCAGCTACTGGCGACGCGTCTACGCACACCCACCCAGAGGCAGCGAGGGCAAGGCGCTGGCGGAGCGGCGTCGTGACGTCACCTCGGTGTCGCGCCCAACTCCCGCCACAAAGAGTTTCACGGAAAAGGTGGTTGCTCCTTCAATCCAGTGCGAGGAGTTCCTTCCATATCTGCATGAGCTGCAGGATACCTACTACCTGTTCGTTGAACTTCTCGAGCCCTTTGTGCTGCACTCCATGCAGCGGCTGAACACCGTTTCCGCTCTCACGGACACGATGCAGTGCAGCCCGCTGGTTGAGTTTCTCCGAATCAGCCATCGGGCACAGCTCGCAGATGAGGAGGCATGTGAGACGGGGACGCCGGTGCCATCCGCTGCTGTGGAGGCGGAGCGCGAGGCTTTTCTGGCACTGGTGGAGGCACGTAAGGCCGGTGCAGTTCCACCGCTTCCCACAGAGTGGTGGGAGACAAACGGCGAGGGCGACAACCTCAAGTTTTTAAGATGACATCTTGCAGCGGGGAGTGGTGAGGGTGGGGGGAGTCTCACCCGCGTAGGAGCTCCACTAGCAACGCGAGTCGGAGGGCGTCGTATGACACCCCCCTCGTCGCACGCAACGACATGCGCCTGTGCCTGGCGTCCGCCCTTCTTTTCACTGCGCCGTATCGAGTAGTTGTGGCGGTGATGATCAGTCACCGTCATCATTATCGTTTTTTTTATTTTTATTTTTAAATTTTTGATGTTAATGTTTTAGCTTCGCTTTCTGTCTCCTCTTTCCCCATCACCCACCACTTATTATTATTATTATTTTTTTGCTTATTGAAGCTTGTCTTTCGGTGACTCCCGCCACTGCCCATTGCATCACACCACCGCGCGTGCGGTGCCGCCTCCCCCTCTGCCGTATCGTTTCTCAAGGGAGGAGGAGGAGAGCCCCGAAGCAAACAAACAAAGCGAAGACGTGGGAGAAGCTTCACTTGCCCCCTCTCTCTCTCTCTCTCTCTGTATATATATATATATATATGCGGCTGTGTTTTCTTCTTTGTTTTTGTGTGTTGCGCATTGTGTGGCGGTGTGGCCCCGGGCGACTCCGCTCCCGTTTCTCTCTTTCTTTCTGCTTCCGCCGTCGTCTTCTGTAAATTTTTTTTCTTTTTCTCTGCTTACATTGTCTCCCCACTTACAACCACGCGGCCGCGAAGGAGCGATAAACAGCGCCGCAACGTAAGTGAACAGGACGAAAAAAAAACAAAACAAGACGTAAAAGATATATATATATACATATAAAGACTGAATTAGTTTTACTCTTCACTTTTTCTCTCCCTGTGAGTGTGCGTGTGAACTTTCCCTCTACTCCGCGTGTGGCTTGTGTGTACTGCGGTGAAGAGACACAGCGAACTTTCGAGAGGAGGAAAGCCGAGGCAGCCGGACACGCATCGGGGTTCCGGGCACAAGTAGGAGGAGGTGGGCGGAGCGTGCCGCAGTTTAGGCATCGCCGTCGTCGCAGCGCCAGCAAGAATAGGGAGCCCAAGCCACCCGCAGCAGCAACAGCTGTAGCCGCCACACCACAAGGAGCAAAACGTGCCAGGGCGGTAGCAGGCAATCAACAATCTCAAATCAACAACAATCAGGCAAGCGAGAGCGGGGATGACAGACGCGGCAGCTCAGGAGGAAGAAATGCATGCTGGCCGTGATGGCGAGCAGCAGCAGCCGCCGCCCACCGGGGGACGTCCGCCGCCACCGTCGCCACCGCCGTCGCCGCCGCCGTCTCTGCCGCCGTCGCCGCCGGGAACCAACCGGAACATTTACGGAGGGCACAAACGCATTGGGGGGAGGCCGGCAGAGGCGCTGCGGAGTCACTCAGCGTCGTTGTCGGTTGGCGTTCCGCGACTCTTGTTGATACCAAAGAATGGCAAGGGGGCTGTGTTGGAGAGACTGAAGGTAAGGGCCGCCTCGGAAAGGGCTCAGGGGAATGGATTGGGCGAGGCGTTGGCGCTACCGCAACGGCAACACCCTCGTAGGGGCTCGGCAAAGCGTGGGAGTGGTCCTTACTGCTGTCAGAAACCTGGAGCCTACGGAAAGCTTATTCGTGAGACGGCGAGGGAGCTTGCGATGCGGCCCCTCAGCTGCCGACAAACGCCTGAGATCGCGTCGCAGTCTAATTCTCCGCAAAAGAAGGATAGCAACCACCCACGAACGAAATGCTCTTCTACGCCTTGCCCCGATCCTCCTGCCGCCATTCCGTCTTCGGTCTCCGCGGGAGGCAGTGCATCGCGCGAACGCCGTCAACGCAATGTGGCCGTGATCAGAGGTAACTCCGAGGAAGGTAGTAAAACCGCGGCGACGGGAAGCCTTAACTGGGAGCTGCTATCCTCGTCTTCCTGCGGTCTTCGTCGCGTGGTGCGGCAGCCGGGTCCCCTTGTTTGTGGCAGGGAGCGGGCCTCTGTCCCAGCCATCGAGCACAGGAGACGGAGTGCGGGTCGTGGTCGTTTGATAGTCTTTCATGACGTATTTTGGAAGCGTGAACGCAAGAGCCGGTGGCCGCTGCCAAATGGGGAGGGGATGGGCGCCACATTGGCGTGCGTCCCGCAGCTGGTGTCTAAGGCACCGGAGCTGCCTGCGGCGCTTGAGCTCGCCCTTGTTGATCACTACCTCGGGGTGCTCCTGACGTGCCCACAGGCAGAGGTGGAACGCGTCGTCGCAGCGCTTGCGCCGCTGGAGCCCGCTGAGGTGGTGCGGCATCTGCGGCAGACGTGTGGCAGTTGCCGTCACTTCAGCATGCGGCTATCTGTGTCAGGCCGAGCAAAGCAGCGACCGAGCACCGCGCGGGAGGAGTGGGTGATGAAGCACCGGCGTCATGGACTCGGAAGTACCCTCGCTCTTCTTCAAAGCCCTGCCACGGCGAGTGATGCAAACGCGTCTGCCAACCCTGTCCCAAGTGAGATGCAGCACTTTTTGAAGCGCTTCTCGCGGGAGGTGTGCATGACGTTTATGGATGAGTCGTGCTCCGCGTGTGCGCGGCGGCGGGAGCGCGCAAGGGCGGATCAGCCGCAAGAGGCCAAAACGCGGGGTGTACCAATCCCAGCAAACGTCTTGAACTTTCTCTACACGCAGGTTGTGCAGCAGCTGCTCTTCCAGATTCTTGGGTGGAACGAAAAGGAGGCCGCGCGGGTGGTGCCGGCGGTGGTGCGGCAAATAAACCAATACCTCTCCTCGTCACGTCACAGTGTGACTCTGCAGATGTGAGAAAAGGAAGAAAAATGAAAAGCAAAAAAAAAATAAAAAGAAGGAAGGAGTCGAGTACCCTCGACATCCATCTCCCAGCCCACACCTCACAGCCGGTCCTGCACGGACGGGTACCACCCCCTCCTTCCAACATGCACGCCGCTGGTTACGCACGCGCCGAAGAAGGAAATGTGAGGTGTGCGCATGTGCGTGTGCGCCAAAGAAGAGTGAGAGAGGGGAGAAGAGGGAGCGGGTGCATGTGTGTGTGTGTGGGTAAATAGGGACAATCTACAGGTGGATAGCAACAGCGGAGACGCTGGCTTTCAAGGGAGCCAAACGGACGAGCCTTCCTCGCGGAGAAGTGGAGGCGAAGGGCGAAGAGAGCCAAGGCGACCACAGACAGCTCTGGTTTCTGAGGCAAAGAGGAATAACAAAAGGTGTCATCGGCGGAGGTTTCCAGCGGCCTCGCTGCCGTGCTCACAGGACGGTTTTTCTGTGTTGTGGGGTTCTTTTTAGTTTTTTTTTTCTCTTTTAGTTTAATTTTGTTTTTGTATTGCATTTTTTACTTTTCCTCCTCCCCGTCCCCCCCCCTCTCTGCATCCCTCGTGGGTTTCGTCCCCCCCTTCCGCACGCATTGCGGGAGACCGCCTCCACCGGTGTGGGTGGAGTCCACCAGCATCAAAACGAAGAAAATAAACCAACAGCCTCAGCATTGAAAAACGGGGGAAAGAGGAGGAGAGGGAGGGAGGGAGGGGGGGGGGGAGGGGGACGTGGGCCTTCGGCCCCCCGGCGGCGGGGAAAAGCTCTTGCGGAGTTGAGAGCACACAACGAGCAACAAAAAGAAAAGTGGGAGGGGGAAAACAAAAAAACAACAAAGAAAAAAAGTTTCTCACCACTTTTTCCCCCCTCCCATCACACATACAAACAGGCAGGCGCACGCGGCGAGGCGGAATGAGAGCAGTGGAGCAGAGACGGCAGCAGTTTGCTGTATGCGTGGTGGTGTCACAAAGAGAGATGCCCACACACGCATTGAAGGCGTCGAGAAAACAAAAACAACGAAAACGAAGACAACAGCAACAACAACAAAAAAGTCCCCAACAAGGAAGATAAAGTAGGGTGCTGTGTTTGGCTCTTGCAGTGTTGGGGATGGGCGACAAGACAGGAAACAAAACGAGTGCCATGGGGGGATAGGCGAGGATAGCTGGGGAAGTAAGGGTGCTGAGTACACGCACGGGGGTGTGGGGGCTGTGAGGAAGGTGAGGGCATAGATTAAAATTGAGGGGGCGATGAGGTGTGTGTACGTGCGTGTGTAGAAAGAATCCGCTGCAGTAACGGTTTTTTTTTTTATATCTCTTTGTTTGCATGTTTTTTTTTCTTTTTTTGTGCGCACGTGTGTTTGTGGGGCAAAGGGGTGTGGGGTTTATTTATGCGCCGTCCCGTCGTTGGGAGGAGGAGGGGTGTGCGGCGGAGAGCACGCGTACATGTAGGATGCACATATGTATATATTTATCTGTTTATACCATTCTCTCTTAAACAATACACACACACACGCACACACATTTACTTTTTTTTCTTTCTCTCTCTCTTTCTTTGTGTGTGTGTGTCTGTGTGTGTGTGCGTGTGTGTGTGTGTGTGTGTGTGTGTGCGTGTCGACGCCTGCGTCCTGCGTGTCTGCCTTTGCGGGGTTGAGGGGTGGGTGGGGTTGCCTGCCGTTTATTTATTGCCTTTTCTAACGCGTCTTTTCCTGTCTTTCTCTCCCCCTCGCTTCTTTTCTTCCTTTCTCTTCTTTACGAGGCGGTGGGGGTCGGAGACACGATGAAAAGGACGGGGTTGCTTTTGAGTTGTCCCTTCAGACTATTTCGCTTCTCCTGCGTAGTATGTGCGCGTGGGCGCCGATGGAGTTGATGCGAGAGGCACCACACTGCGATGTTCCTCTCTTCCTAGTGTCTTGTGCGGTCAGGCGTGCGGCGGTGCCTACACCATGAAGGCCTTGCTGTGACGCCGCGAAGGAACACGGGAGGGGCATTCACCAACGATCGGCGAGGGCGCGGCCGATATGGGCGCCGACTACCGACTGCATCTGCGGCAGATCACGCGAGCGCACACGCAGGCAGAGCCGCACGGCGTCAAAGGGGTGGAGGGTGGCGTGTGATGCCACGAGGTGACGTATTTGCAGCCTCATTGTTTTTGTACCCTTTGGCTTGGCTGCTTGTCTGCGCGTCTATTTTTTTTTTCTTTTGGGTTCCCTTGTGGAACTTTTCTTTTTTCCTTTCTTTGATTCGGTTTTTGCTTTCGTTTGTGGGTTTCTGTGCGGGTTGCGTGTGGTGGATCCGCGCGCGTTCGCCCCGTGCTGCCCACCACAACTGCGGCCGCACTTCCACGCCTGTGGGGGATCGGCCAGCGCACCCACACCGACAGACGCGCCCACGCGCAGGGCAGGCGCAGAGAAGAAGGACGCAAACGGGCGAAACTCGGCTGTTGAAAAACATTTTTTTTTAGTTTTGTTTTTGTTTTTGTTCGCTTGTTGAACACCCTTGCGGGGTTTTGTCGGGGCTTCTCTTTCCTCTGCACGTGCCTGTCTTTGTGGATGCTGCTCCACTCACTCCCTGCCGTCCCACTGCACCCCACACCCATATGCACGCTTGCGCGCGGGACTGCCTCGCGAAGAAAGCGAATATAGCGGAAAAAAGCAACAATCAAAACACGAGGCGACCACGATATGACTCAAGCCCAGTTTGACGCTGCCGTGGAGTACGTGCGGTCCCTCCCGAAGGACGGCCCCGTGCAACTGTCCAACGCTGTGAGGTTGGAGTTTTACGCGCTCTTCAAGCAGGTGACGGAGGGGCCGGTAACGGGGTCGCAGCCGTGGTCGGTACAGTTTGAGGCCCGCGCGAAGTGGGACGCTCGCCACGCCCTTGCAGGCATGTCCAAGGAGGAGGCGATGCAGAAGTACGTGGCGCGGTTGGTGGAGGTGACGAGGGAGTCGGGCCAGCCATGGAACCCGCCGCAGTAGCGCACAAGGGGGTAAAAAGCAGTGACAGGAGACAAAGGGCGTAAACGAAGAAGCAAAGAAAGGGGAGGAAACAACAATGAAAAATAATAATGCAAAAAAAGCAAAAAAAAAATACAAGAAAAAATATAATGAGAACCAAAGCAATAAAAAAAAATAAATGCAAACCAGGGGGTTACGGGACACCATTGTGCGGGGTCTTATGGTGAGTAAAAATGCATTGGCAAAGGGTGAGGAAACAAAGGAAGCGGAGAGAGGTAAGACGCGCACGTATTTATTTTGGTGTTGCAGCCGTCTATCGCGGGCAACGTGGTGCCAAGCCGCATAAGCAGACCACGTGGCACAGCGCCGCCACTGGTGGGGTGGGAATGGGAAGCAGCCGGATTGTGAGTGCATCTCGTGCCTGCCTGCGTCCTCTTCCTTCCTTTTTTTTTTTCTCTCTCTCTCTTTCTACGGGTAGTACTGAGAGGAGGGAAACAACGCGGCCAACATGCACCCAGCACAAGTTGGGAGTGACGGGCGTGTCACGGTCGCCCTAAACCTCTCGGCAGGCCGCTGCACGGCCGTGGAGAACAACCGGCAGCGCAGCACAATCTGCATCGTCCACGGCGACCCCGCGACTGGCAATCCCGCGGGTTTGGCGATGCCATCGCCGAGTGAGTGGGGCAGGACGGGAGCTGGCGAAGCAGATTGTGGGGGTGGTGAGATGTTGGTTGTGCGCACGCCGTTTCTCACAGTAGAGGGTGGCGAGACCGAAACACTACCGTATTCAGCGTACACTCGGGCGCTGGCGGCACACGTGGCAACGATACTCACGGAGAGGGAGGGCGCAGAGCTGCTCACCGTCGCACACGGGGCTGCAGGGAGCGGGAAGTCCATCCAGCTGTTTGGTCCCATCGTCGGCGGGAGTGAGGTGGGGCGGTGTGGTGACGGGCACGGCGGTGGTCTGCTCGCTGCCGTTCTGCAACGCATCTTTGCTGCCGTGCATCTTGATCCGAGTGTGGCGCTCAGCGTTGTCGAGTGCAGGCCTGCCCCGGACGACGGCGATAGGCGTCGTCCCTGCAGTGGGACGGGGCGACGCGTGGACGATGACGAAGATGCGGGGGTGGTCGCCGTGGAGGCCGTCGACCTGCTCGCCCGTGCCACGGACAAGGGATCTCCCACAGGCTGCTTCATGGAAGATTACGCGGACATCCCCGCCACCCGCTACCTTCGCTGCAGCAGTGCCGCAGAGGCCATGGCTGTGCTGCACACGGCGCTCTCCCACTCGCTGGCGTGGCAGCCCGTGAGAACGGCACTGGCGCAAGGCTCAGCCGACGTCTTTGGGCTGCCCGACATCCGATGGAACGCGGAGCGACGGCGTCGTGCGGCCGAGGCAAGGGAGGAAGAGGAGCAAGAGCAACAAAGAGAAGCGTTTGTAGGAGCTCACTGCACTGCAGGCGCCGCAGATTTTTTGCGCCCAACGGCAGGCGCAAGCTCGCACATTCTTGTGACGCTGCTGCTTCGCCACGGCGGCGGGGCGGCGAACATCTGGCGAATGTGGGACCTTTCAGGTCCCTCCGTGTGGGCGGACGACGGAACTCCCGCCTCGCGTCTGGCCTTCAACACACACACCGCGGTTTCTCTTATGGCGCACCGCTACATGCACCGGGACCAGCTGCAGGGTGGGTGGTGGAGCGCCGCCTCTTTGCCGGAGCATATTGCGGAGATCGTTCCGCTTGCCTCCACCCACCAGCCGCACGGCGGGCGAGGGGACCCGGTCACCACCATGATTGAGGCGACTCTGCAGCACTCCTGCTCCGCCGTCGTTTGGATCGCCTCGCTGCGGTTTGATGCCTGCTTTGACGACGTCAACGGGGATGTGCTGGAGGCCGCCGCGGCACTGTTGACGGGCGGAGACGGGACAAACGGCGAGGTGATTGCGGAGTTGCGGCGCAGGCGGCGGCAGGAGAACGTTGCTGCTGCCTCGCGCGTGATGGATCTTTTTGCGGTCGCCTTTTCGTCCGCTGTGTGGCGGCCGCAGCGTGCAGAAAGGCTTCCTGCCTGTGCCACACCGCCGAATACTGCGACACCCCCCGACGCGGCTGCCTCCGTGGCGGGAGCGACGACGCCAACATCGGCGTCCCGATGGCGCCGCCTCATCTCTCCAGAGCGTGGGGCGGTGGGGTGCTTTACGGCGGCAGGCGCCGAGACAAGGGTTGACGCTGACGCCGGTGCCCCCGTTGCACCTGTCATGACTGTGGACATCGCTGCAGCGACTCACCATGCCTCTGGTGCTTCAGTGTGTTCTCCGCCAGGCGCAGCCGCCGCTGCTGCTGCTGCTGCCGCCGCCGTTCTGGGGACCTCGCCTTGGGTACCATCTGTTGATTGTGAGTCGTGCCTGGAGGCTCCGTCCCTGCACAAAGGTCAAACACCATCAAATGAGCCCCAAGTGCAGCGGCGCGAGGGCCACAATCAGAGCTGGCGCTCGCCGTACGCACTACCACCACCACCACTATCACTACGGCCGCTGTCGCCGTCGCCGTTGTTGCAGATGCCGCCGGTGGGGGAGAAGGTGGGAGGGGACGCAGGGAGCCCTGGCGGGGCGTCGCCGTTGTCTCCACCGTCCGTGGTGGGCACGGAGTACCCTGAGAAGGCCGTCACAACGGCCCACAACTTAAACTGGAAGGAACTGTTGTGGGAGACTGCCTCACACGACGGCGACGTGGGTGGCGAAGACGTGCCAAGCTCGCATCGGGGGACAGCGGCTCCGCCGGGGCGTGGGCCGACAGATCTCGCCAGCACCGTTCGGCTTCTGCTTGAGGAGCCACTGGCACAGCTGCGGGAAATTTCTGCGCAATACGAGGAGGATCTGGCGCTGCACCGTCAGCGTGTAGCTGCGGAGCTGGGCGCCGTGCTCTCTTCGCACGGAGTTGCCTCAGAGGGACGGCAGCGCCGCTTCACAACTTGGGATCGGCGGAAGAAGAAGAAGAAGAAAAAGCGGCGAGGGCGTTGCACGACAAGAGTGTCGTCATGCCTCGTCAGTCTCATTGGCAGCGCGGTGACGACAGCAGGGGGGAGACGGCGCCGTTGGATGTATTTGGGCCCACGGTCGCGCTGCAGGTCAGCCTAGATACTGCGCTTCTGGACGGCAGCGGTGGCAGTGGTCGCAGTGACAGCAGCCATCGTCGTAGAGGGGGCAGCACACGCCCTTGTGGGTGTCAACTCTGGGGACGCCGGAAGGACACCACGGCGTTCCCCACGAGAAATTTAGCGGCAGCGGAGCGAAAGATCCATTGCCTGGAGCAGCAGCTGCTGCGCCTGGAGGCTGAGAACAGCAGGCTGCGGGCGGAACTCTCCTCCCGGCGTGTGCGGGGTGCTGCGGCGCGCAACGGGCGGAGTCTTGAGGAGGTGTTTAACAATATTCTGCAGCGTTGCAGTGCGCTCTACGCAAAGAAATCGGCGGAGGTAAAACTCCTGCACCGAAGGCACGACGCGGCGTTGGACGCCCTACGACGTCTTCAGCGGCAAGAGCCGCAGCAGCAGGAGGAAGCGGTGCAGGATGTTGCGACGACGCCCATTGAGGCGGTGAGGCCGGCTTTGGCGGACACCACCAACCTGGGCCATCCCCACAGCAACGATTGCGGTCCGCAAGGCTGGCGGCGCACATCCCCGCCGGTCGGCATTGTGACCCTGCCCCATGCGGGGTCCATGGGGGACGTTTCCACCGCTGACTCCCTCCGGCGCGTGCTGCTGCGGGCCACGACATTTGCAACACCTTCCGTGGGATCTCAGCAGCAGCGGCCGCAGGAAAGAGACACGTCTACAGGTGTTCCACTTTCCATTGACCACGGCTTGAGCTGCTCCCTCCAGGGCTCTGGGGCGGAGGAGGAGGAGGAGCGGGGGGAGTATGACATGTGCGCCGGTCTGCGCGCCTTTCGTGAGGCCGCGGGGGGCGCAAGAGACAGTGCGCTACGAGCCCTGCGCGTTGCGAAGCAGACTGTGCAGGCCTCGCAGCCCTCCTCTTCACCGCCGCACTTGCTGTCGTACGCGGCGTGCGGTGTCGACGCTTCCATGGGCGGTGCGACGCTTGTGACGACGGCTGACACGCCACCCTGCGACGCAGCTGAGGCGTTAGCACGCGAGGAGGCAAGCGTCTACCGGGCCACAGGTCTGCTGCAGCGGGAGGCGGCAGAGCTGGAGCACGCGGCAGTGGAGGCCATGTCGCGGGAGCGGCAGCTGCTGAGTAGAGTGCTGTTAGCCTAGTCGTCCCCTGCACATGAGAAGGACACGCAGGATAGCGAAGATGCGGACAAACACACGAGACGACAGTAGACAACGGAGGCTTCTGCCCCTCTCTCTGTGTAACACCAAGCGTACCCTGCAATGTGCATTCACAGGGAGGATGTTTTTTTTTTGTTTTCTCTGTGACTTTGTCTTCGACTGTCTTTAGCGCAGGGGGAGCGCAGCGTGTGTGTGGTGTGGGCGGTGGTGCGTTTTCCTCACCTCGCCATCCATCTCTCTCTTGTCTTCCTCCTCTTTCCGCACACAAGAAAGAAAAACCCACCACGCGGAAGCACACCGTAGGCGGTAGAGGGTTAGGAGTCGGGCGGAGCGACGGGTTCAGCAGCAGGAGGCCACATCTGCCGCTCTGTGTTTTTTGCGGCGCCTCTCTCTGTGTGTGACGACGGCGGCAGGTGCAACGGCGGGCGGAATACATCCACGTCACGCGTTCGACAAGCCAGGCACACACACACACACACACACGTACGTAAATACACACAC